CTTCCATCACGCCTCAGTACCCACCCGGTGTCTACAGAAGGGTTTGTCCTAGGACTGCAGAAACCGAAACCGTCACTTCTTTATTCAGAAACATAAAGTTGTTGTTATTGTCCGTCAGCCTCAAACTTAAAATCAAACAGCATGGCATCTCTGAAGAAAAAAAAAAATCTCCATTGGTTGATTTGATCATTTGTATTTTTTAGGAAATTGTTCCATCATTATGTCTTCATTTTTAACATTCTGAGCTTTGGATTGATTTTGGCAAAACAGATTTCTTTTAGAAGTTAGAACCCTGTCCAACTATTCCTCCTAGGTTTCATATGAAGACACATGGATTTTCTTCTCTTTTCACTTTAACAGTGGTCATGTGCAGACTACAAATGCTGATGATGTGGACAACCCTTTTGGAGACACCAAATCTTTAGCCAAGCCTCGGTGCTCTAGAATCCTTTATTCAACCACAAGTCAGTAAGTGCCATTCAGAATTATTTCACTTATTTTATTATTAAGTTTGAGACAATGATGGGCTTTACAAATGAAGGACTAGAAAATGGCCTAGCCTGTTAATGAACATAATGTATTCATCAGTTTTCCATTCCTATAACAAAATACCTGAGAAAATCAACTCACAAGGAGGAAAGATTTATTTATTTTGTTCATGGATTTAGAGGTTTCCCTCTACAGTCATTTAGCTCTTTTGCTTTGAGCCTATGGTGAGTCAGAACATCATGGTGGAAGCAAGTGATGAAATAGAGTTGCTCACCTCATGATGGCTGAGAAATAAGGAGAGAGAGAGAGAGAGAGACAAAGGGACCAGGGGCCTAATATCCCCTTCAAGTGCACACCCCAAATAACCTAACTTCCTCCCACTAGGCCCCATCTTAAAAAGGTTCTAGCACCTCCCAGTGGCATCACAGGCTGCTGATGAAGCCTTTAACATATGGCCTTTGTGTGACATTTAAGAGCCAAACTGTAGCACATACCTTAAAGGAAAGATACTGCTTCCTGAAAGAAATGTAGCTTATCACAAAGGAGATTAGAGTTCTGAACAAGCCATCTCTGTAACTTCAGTGTCTTTGTCTGACATCTGGGATACAAAATGCCACCAAGCAGGCTGATTATAGGAGGACTGATAATGTTTATAAAAGCACCAGAGACATGCTAATGAATAACAGGCCAGTGTAAAAGTTGGTAAAACTGGGTTCTTTTTCAAAAACAACACACCTGAGTTTTTTCAGTTCTAGTAAACTACTTCATAGAACATTGGTCTGAGAGTGGTCGTGCAACCCAGCAACCCTGAAAGTGCCTTTGATGCCAGAAGTAAGAAGAAAGATGACAATGAAATGTGACATGCCTCAGTAAAAGATTTGAGGAAAGACCAGACACCATCAAACCAAAGTCTGA